AAGGTCTCAAGCCTGGGTTTGGCAGCTTGCTCTCTGGCTGGCCACCCCTCCCAGAAGCTGTCTCCTGTGTCCTGTCCCCAGCCTCAGCTGCGTCCTTAGACAGGGCTCTGGTGAGTTCACACTTTCTTCCTCTGGACAGTTCTCAGAGGCTGGTGTGAAATGTACTCCTACCCCACAGCTGGAAGTGTGGCACCCGGAATGTCTGTATACCTTCATCTTGACTCACTCACCTGGCGGGAAGAAAGAACAGTGCGTGGAAGACAGTTTTTCCTCGTTACACGCTGTGGGGCTCCTGGTGAGTATTCTGCACCAAAACCTTTCCAGGTGAGCTGTGACGGCCCTGTGCCTCATCCTACACCCTCCACCAGCATCTGCAGGACAGGGAGATGGGAGGGAGCCAGGAGATTGGCCACCCGGGGACACCCCCAGGGCTGGAGAAGGCAGGAGCTATGGGAGGGGCTGGTGGCCTTGGAGTACAAGGTGACTCCCTGTGTTCTAAGCAGGGAAGCTGCGCAGGACTGGAAAATGGGCCACAAGGGAAGGGTCACCTCTGGGACCCCAGTTACCTCAGCTTTCAGGGGCTTTGCCAGGATGGCCTCTTGCTTGCCTTCCAGCCAGGACCTATATGAAGGCAGAGAATGGAACAAGGGACCCTGTGGCCTGGCTAGGGGACAACGGCATGATCCGGTTGGAGGTGGAGCTTTTCCCTGTCACCATACGGGGCTCAGACCAATGTAGTTGTGGTCCCTGGAGGTCGGGACTCAAGGCCTGTGGGTATCTGTCTTTGGGGTCCAAGGGCCATTGGAATCACAGCCAGGACCTCTTCTACTGCCCTCCTAGACCCCCACCTGGTTGCTCCTGTTGCATTGATCTCTTCCCATCCTCCTTGTCTTGAAGGGTTGGAGGGTCGGGAACCCCTGGGTAGCTCAGCCAGGGGAGGAGATTGCAGTTCTGAGTCAGCGAGGGGCAGGATGGTGGCTGGGGCAGGTGTTTATACAGGGTTTACTGAGTGGGTGGGCCCTGTGGCAGAGGTGAGAGTTCCTCAGTTTTCCCTACAGGAAAGAGCACCCAAGGGCTACAGTGTTTTCTAATCCAGATCTTCCTCTCCCCCTAACCTTAACCTTGGCCACAGGCCTCATGGGCTGGAGTTGAGGGGCACAGCTCCCTGGGGCTCTGGGTACCCCACAGGGTCGGAAGACCCAGAGGGCAACAGTTATTGGGGCCTGCTGGGGCTGTGGACCAGAAGTGCGTATGGCCCACCCAGACCCCAAGAGGGCAGGCCAGGGAGCAGTGGAGCAGGATGGTCAGGGCACATGGGGAGGACTTGTGAGGTGCTGACCATTCTGCTAGGCTGTGACACAGAGAACTCTGGGATAGGATCTTGCCAGTGCAAAGGCCCTGTGGGGCCATGGGGGGGGCGAGTCATGGCTTCCTTCCAGGGGCTCAGAGTCCCTCCATAGCTTCTTTTGCCCTCTAGATGAAGCCCAGCCTTCTTGGTTTATATCTGAGAAGTGTCTGGAGATCTTTGCTGCTGTGCAGCTCATTAAGGATGCAAGTCCTGGAGAACTATTTATCCAGCAGTTTCATGGAGTACCAGGATGTTTCTAGGTCTGGGTGACAATGCAGGGCTAGACCCAGGCTCTCTGCTAGCACCCGGCTGTGAGAGGCCAACAGAGCCTCTCTGGAGTGGGACGCTCAGAAGACAAGACTGGCCGGGCTTGACCTAGGGCTCATTGGCTGCTGCTCCTGAAGGTCCAGTGCTTGCGTTTCTCCAGCTGTCCTCTAGGTGGCGCAAGGGGACCAGGCATGAGCCCAGGGCTCACCTGCCCACAGGGATCCACACCCACACCTGGCCACAGGGAGTGTAGCTGGGGAAGGTCCTTGATCCCTGGCAGACAGGGAAGACGGGCTGACCCACCGCAGTCAGGGGGCCTGCTCTGAACCAAGTGGAGGAGGCTGGCAGCCAGAGTGGCCTGGGCACTGGCACCTCACTGTCCCCACCAGCTGGTCCTGCGCCCACTGTCCTGGGCTTTGAGGCCAGGGCAGTCTCTCTCAGTGGCAGCCCCTTCTGGTCATGAAGCCCTTCTTCCAAAAGCGAGAGATTCCTAGGGCAGCTGGGAGAAGAGTGAGGAAGGCACCCCGCCACACCCTAAGCCCAACGGGACCAACAAAGTCAAGACCGGCCTCTCCTGCCTGGTTGTCACTGGACTGACACCAGACCTTGAGAAAGGCGAGGTACCTTCTGGTGGTCATGGCATGCAAACCTCTTCCTCCTGCCTTAGGTGCCAAGACACACGCCGTCCCCGAGTCCCCAGCGTATTGCCCTTTACACAATCCTGGACCTGACTGCCTCGTCATCCCGCCTTTGGCAGCCAGTTCTTCACCAGGTGTTTCCGAGCAGGGGCTGTGGAGTTCGCTCCCCAGGCAGCCCAGGGCAGTGGGCTCCTCCCCCTGTGGGTTAGGGCTTGGGGAGCCTGGGAGCCTGGTGCGGGTGCACTGAGGTTCACCTTGGGACTGGGCGTCCTTCTGCGGTCACTGGTTCCTTTGTCCCCTGCCACCCCATTTCCTGGCAGCCACTGCACACTGCATGCCGGATGGCCCCAAGGCAGAGGTCATTCACCACTCTATCATTTCTTGTTCATTTATGTACTGTGATTCAAGGAGCAGGGTCCCTGCCCTGGCCACCCTCGGGCTTCTTCAGGGAGTGCGGCCATCTGACCCTGGACCCCCGAATTAGATCCCAGGCCAGCAGAGGAGGGGTTTTGTTTTGTTTCTCTCCAGTGTTTAGAAATCCCAGTGGAATCCTAGCCTACTGGCTTCTCACAGACCTTGGACTCTCACAGGAGGCAGCTGCCCTTTGTCCCCGCACCGCTGGGCTGAGTTCTCATCTGGGGCATTGGTTTTGAGGACAGGTGGGACAGTGGGGTTCTGGGCAGTGGGCGGGTCAGGGTCTCACACCCATAGGAGCGTTGGTTTGCAAAGCTGTGAGGTAGGCACCCCGGGACGGTGGTTTCTTATGAGTCACGGCAGGGAGGGGAGGGACCAGGAGTGGCCGCTCCGGGTCTGCAGCGGCCGGGACTCAGTGCTGTCACACTTCACCTCAAATTGGTACCACAGCAATGCATGACTGGTGTCCCAAGTCGCAAATAATATCATAGGTCAAATGAAAACAGCCTGTCCCCGCCCACGGAGGCCCAGAGACAAATCACTGCTGTCATGTTTCTCTGGCTGTGTTTACTTTGTGTTTGGGTCACAGGCTTTAGCCACACTCCTTGTTTCAACTTGGGGACACGTCCACTGACATTCCCCACCCAGCCCTGAGGCCCCCACCTGCATGCCAGCCATGCCTCCTCTCTCAGGAAGCCCTTGTTCTCCTGGGTGAGTTGGGAGTCCCGCTTTCCCCGGCTCTGTTTTCAGTTCATTGGGGCCAGCGTCTCCTGGGACAGGTCCTCACCTCCTGGCCTTGTCGGTTCTTCTGTCCTGACTCATGTCCTGGTCATGGGGCCACATCCTCCAGCATGGGCTTAGCCATCCCTAGAAGTAGCTGGTTGAGTGGGTCCCTATCCGTCCTCCTGGGCTACACTGCGTGGACAAAGCTTGTTTGCCACTCCACTGCTCATGGGTTGCAGGTCACAGGTCCCCTCCCCTCCAGGGACCCACGTGCTTTCTGGGGCCCAGGCTCTCCCTGCCTCCCTGCTATCTCCAGTGCCAGCTGGCCTCCAAACTGATCCTCCTGCACCCCATGGTGGTGACTCCTGCCCATTGTTCACGGTCACAGTGAGGAGCCTGTCATTCTGGACATCTGTCCCCTCTGCAGCCGGGCGGTGCCTGCTCCTGCTCAGTGGTAGCTCTGCCTGTCCCCTCCACTCAGCTGACAGATGCTGATTTGAGCCAGGCATAGTCCAGGGTCACCTTCTTGTCTGCAGCTGGGGCTTTGCGTTTGACCCCAGGTCACAACTCCGAGTTTTACAACTGGCTCAGGTGTTGACCAGGGGACACAAGTAGGCAGATGTGAGTCTTGCCCTCCAGTGAGAGCCACCCCAGTCCCCAACTCTAGCTGGTCAGCAAGCTCTGGGTCTCCTCAAGTCCCTCTTGCAACCCTGGCTGGGCAGTGGATGGCTGTGACAGCTTTCCCCATTCCAGCACCTCCCGCAGACTTCGTGTGAAAGCACTTGTGACATTGTTGCATTCTGAGCACTCAGTACCTCTCCTCCCTGGGGCCCGCAGGCTCCACCCTGTGACATCGCTCCTTCCCCGTCTCTCCTTCCTGTGCGCTGGCTCCTCACTCTGCAGACACTCGGGGAGTCCCTTGGGGAGGGCACTGCTCAGCCCAGCTGGGCACCACTGCGCGGATGAGAGGGGCGGCTCAAACAGTAGGAGCCATGTCCTCACCATCCTGGTGGCCAGCAGCCCAAAGTCAATGTGCAGCAGAGCCATTCCCCAGTGAAGCCACCCTCTGTGTGCCTGTGTCCAGAGGAGGACGGGGCCAGAGGAGGGAGGGGCCGGTGTCTCTCAGCCGCCCTGCCTCAGGGCAGCCGCCTTGCAGCTCCTGTGGTGGATTCTGCACGACACCCTCTGCGGCCTCCTGTGGCTTCAGGCGCTCCGAGAGTCCCACAGGGTGGAACGGTGCTGCTCTCCCTTCAGCCCTTGACCTGCTGCTTTTGTTTTTGTTATTCCGAGGGCTGAACTCAGAGCCTCTGCAGCCAGCTACCTCTCCAGCCCTTTTTATTGCTTTTTATTTTGAGACAGGGTCTCACTAAGTTGCTAAATAGCTCAGGCTGGGCTTGGAGGATGTCCCTGCCTTTTGATACTGCAAGCCTCACACCAGCCTGTTCACCCCACGGCTTAGCGGACAGCTCCCTCTGCAGCCCCACAAGCTGCAGGCTCCGGGATGCTTGGGCACTGAGAAAGCTGGGGCTCTGCCGTGTCTGGCTCCAGGCCTGGTTCTCTGGCAGGGAGGGCAGGGCCTGGGGTGAAGGCCACACCCCAGTGAGGCTGGAAACACACGCTTGCCATATCTTTATTGCACTTTTACCACATTGCAAACTATTCCACAAAATGCTGTGAAGGTTAGCCTACTGCTCGGTGCCCGCCGGCCCCGTGTGAGGGGTTTATGCCACCGCCCAAAGCAAAGCCAATGGTGAGTGGCGCTGCCACAATGGGAAGGCCCAGCCTCTGCTGGGGTAACTGTCACTGCCTTGTAGAGCCCAGCTGGGCGCCTGTCTGTCCAAGCACAGGCTGTGCCATCCGTCTGGAACCTCTGTCCCAGACAAGCCTCTCCCACCTCAAAGCGCTGAGGCCCGGGAGCAGGGAGCAAAGGAGTTTTCATTTTGAATGAGGTCCAGAGCATGAAAATGCATCCAATGTCACAGTGACCCCGCCGGGTAGGAGCCACAGGATGGGGAGGCGGCCCTGCTCCGTGCAGATGGCTGTCCGGACGCACATTATGTGTGCCTCACATAAATCCCAACCAGAAGTCGGCAGAGCCTTCCTTGCCCTGTGGAAGGACGGGCTGCCCTGTCTGGGAGCACACGCAGTGCTTCCTCCTGGCCTCTCCCGTCTCGCAGACTCGAGAAATGCATCCTGGTGGGGCCACATGGAAGGGCTGTCAGTAGCCACTTGGGCGCGACCCTCCTATTTCTGAATTCACTGAATTCACCAGTAGCTCGCGTGACCCATCTCCCTGCTCACGGGCAGCGGGTCACTACCTCTCAGCGGCGGCTCTGTGCTCAGTGTCCAGGTCGTCCTCCACCACACTGCCCAGCCCGTCCTTCTCGATGCAGGCGTGCACGGCCTGCAACACGATGCGGAGCCGCCGGTCCAGAGCCTCCAGGTGCAGCTGGTATAGCACAGGTGCCACCCGGTCCCGCTGCAGGGACTCAGCCATCAGCAGGCTCAGCTTGTACTCTTCCCTGGCTAGCAGCTGCAGCCGCAGGTAGGTGGACTTCCTGATCCTGCCGGAGGGAGAGGTCAGTGGGATGGCCGTGGGTTCGGGTAGGGGGAGGGAGTTAGAGAGACAGAGAGACACAGAGAGAGTGGGTCAGAGAGAGACAGGAAAAGAGAGAGTGAGACAGAGACAGAGAGAAAGAGGCAGAGAGAGACAAACAGAGACAGAGAAAAAGAGAGAGAGGAGAGATAGTCAGCTAGACACCGAAAGACAGGCAAGACAGATGGAAGGACAGAGAGACAGAGAGGCAGAGAGATAAAAAGAGAGACAGAGACACAGAGAGACAAAGTCAAAGCTAGACACAGAGGCAGAGACAGACTGAGATAGACAGAGACAGACAGAGACAAAGAGAGACAGAGACAGAAAGAGAGACAGAGTCAGGCAGAGACAGAGACAGAGAGACAGTCAGAGAGACAGAGCCACAGAAAGAGACAGAGACAGAGAAGAGAGGCACAGAAGGGCTTAGGATCAAACCCCCACCGGGTGCCCTGCTGCGTGGCCAGGAGGGCCCTGCCTGGCAGACACAGGGATTGGCCGGCCTTCTCTCTCGGGGGGACTCTCCCTAACTCCATGGCCTGTGTGTCAGGCAGATGCTGATGTCTCCTGAGGGGATCACAGACTGCTGTGCCCACACGCCTGGCCCAGCCATGAAAGGAGGGACAGGCTTGAGATCTCCAGGAGTGGCGGGACAGGGCCTGACAGCTGTGGTCAGGAGGACGGGTTCCTGTGTCCAGGTCAGCAAGCTGGTGGGCCTAGAATCTTTCCAGGAGGGTCCTGGTTGGCGAGGATCTCACTCCATGACCACGGGGACTTGGGGCTAGAGGCTGGTGGATAGGTGGGAACTGGGGCAGTGGGGCAGGATGTGGGGGCTGACTCGGAGATGTGGACACCCGTGCAGGGGCTGGGGGTCAGGCAGGTGCCACCTGACCCACTCCTCATGGTGATAGCTGAGGGCCTTGGGGAAGAAGTGGCACCACGGGGAGGCAGGCAGGGAGGGTGGCTGTACCTGCAGCACTGCTGTAAAGGCACCAGGATGGAAAGCTCATCGTGTGAATATTTTCCAAACCTGCGAGAGGAAGCACAGCCATCAGGCTCTCACAAGCCGGGGAGGGTAGCAGTGTTCCCTGCGCGTGCACTGGCTCTCGAGGTGGGGCTGGCCTCTTGCCTGGGCCCAGTTTAGCTCTTCAGGGGCCATGTGACTGCATGTGGACAACCCATGGGCCCAGCGCTGACCTGTGCCATCCAGCACCGCAGCTGTCTCTTTTGGAAGGAACGTTACTCACTCCCTACCTTGCTGGTCTGGAACACCCTCTCCCTGACACAGCCCCACCTACTCCTCAGCCCTGCTCATTCCTCAGTTTCCCCAGGGTGGCAGGGGTCCAGGAATGGGGCAGCCCTCCTTTCTGCTTGGGGCGTCAGCCTACAAGGCTGTGGGGAGAGAAGCACTCACCCTCTTCCGTTGTCCAAGTGGATGATGAACGTCTCATTCCCGAACTTCTCGAAGGTCTCGTAGTGGTGGCGATCCATATTTCCTGCGGGCACAGCGCTGTGTTCAGTGGCCCCTGACCCCCACGCCCTTCCCTCTGCCCACCCAGCAGAACCTCAGCCCAGGCCCTGTGATCCCAGAGCCCAGGCAGTGTCCCACGTCAGCTCTGGTGCCATCTGCGGGTCATACCCATGAGGAAGTCGAAGATAGTCATGTCCATGACATCCAGGACTCGGTGGCCACTGTCATAAGGTGGTGTCTGCTTCACCTCCTCACAGTAGTCGGGGTCCACTTCCCACCTGCAGGGGGCAGCGTGAGACAACGGTCTTCCTCTGCGTGGTCAGGGAGGCCTACGCTAAATTCTGGGTGCTACCCTACTCAGGAGGGCACCGAAGCCAGGTGCTTGTGATCCACAAAGAGGACTCATGGTGACGTGTCTGTACCACCCTGGGCTGTGAGCTTGTATTAACAGGCGTACGGGGCCAGGGGTGATCAAGATACTCTACCTGCCCCATGGATCAGGCTTGGAAGCTACCATCAGCTCTGGGCGTGTGGTTTTGGAGGGTCAGTGTTGAGAATCAGTGCCCAGACATCATATGGGACATACTGGCTGAAAGAGCCGGGGGTATTCCTTCCCCAAGAGATGAGAGGGGCAGGGAGTGAAATCTGTGCTCATCCCCTAAGAAACACGTTTTGAGGGACCCTGTGGACAGTCTGCACCTCGGAGGGTTCTGGTTCTCACACACAGAAGCCCTTTCCAGCGTGTAAACACAGGCTCCTCCCTGCATGCCCCTTGCCCTTGTCACCCGTCCCTGCCCTCTGACCCTGGACAACCTGAGTCCCGGCTCTTATGCCCAATACCCATACTCACTCTGCCTTCTTGCGCTTGTGGTAGGAGCGCCGCCAGGGGTTCCGCCACGTCTTCCTCTTGGCCAGTGACAGGTCTGGCAGGAAGGCGGCCAGCGAGCCCTCTATCTGGTCGGGCCTCCCGCACAGCGCATGCTCAGTGGAGCAGTAGTAAGAGCACTCCCCGTAGAAGCAGATGTTGTTGGCTGCGGGGAGAGATGGCCAGGTCACCTGCACTGGTCCAGTGGTGTCCTTCTGTCGCTGACCAGGCCTATCCCCATGTGTCCTCCTGTGGCCCCTCTAGACCTCACCTGGCCTCGGAGACCACCTCCAGTCCCTAGACCCCCACAGCGAGACTTCTAAGGCCACACAGCCTCCCCCTCAGAATCAGAAATGGCCGTCTACGGTGATTCTAGGGTCAGCATTTCATAGCTCAAAAAGTGATTCTTGCTGTGAAAAAAGTGAAGAGATTGTCCACAGAATGGAGAAATACTTGCAGATCACATATTGGATGGGGAGCTAGTATTCAATACATGTAAAGATCTCTTACAAGTCAGTAATAAAAAGAACCCAATTTATAAACGGGCAAAGGACTCAAATGGACCTTTCTCCAAAGACACTCAAATGGCTAACGAGCCTATGAGAAGGTATTCTGTCAGCATCGCTGGTCATCAGAGAAACAAATCAAATCTGCACAGAGGCTCCACCTCATACCCACCAGACAGTAGCAGGCACTGGTGAGGACATGGGGCATAGGAAGCAGGTGGGAAGGAAGTGGAGTGGCTGTGGGAAGACAGCCTGGTGCCCAAACCCCACCAGGGCATCACCAGGGGGCCTGGGCATTCCACTCCTCAGTTCCTGTGTACCAGAAGTGAAGATGGGATTCCAGAGCCTCCTCACACTCAACAGGGAACAACAGGCTAGGGGTTGGCTTGACCAAATGCCTGTCAGCTGGCCAATGGATCCAAACAATGCAAGATTTCCAGACCACAAAATACCATTCGACACAGGCTGAGGTTTGGGGCTCAGTGAGACACCAGGCCGGGAAGGCCGCAAGTGTGACTCCACTTGTACGGGGCATCGAGAGCAAGCAGACCCACAGAAGCAGAGCGGACAGGAGCTTGCTAGGGGCTGGGAAGGGCTGGGAGGTGCCAGCAGGTATGAGTTTCCTTCTTGGGTGAAGGAATCGTTCTGGACCTGGATGATGGCAAGTGTCTACACTGCATCATGCTTGTGACAAAACCACTGAATCGTACTTTGAAGTGGTGAATTTTATGGCACACGGTGTTGTATCTCAATTAAAAAAAGAGAACTGTTTAACAACTATAAGTCCTGGCTTCCCGGCAGCTTCCTGATACATGATTTGGCTGCTAGAGTCCCTGGCTACCATCTCACCCTGATCACGGGTCCCAGAATGATCTCTTCCCACACTTATTTATTGACTACATCTGTGTTTTCATGCTTTGGTTTGGTGGAGCTGAGGCCCTTGCTGTGCCCCAGCACCTTCCCACCCATGCCTATGTCGAGCTGCGGCTGCTTTCCTGAGCTGCACACCCAGGCCTTTCCAGGATCTCCCTGAGGCTCCTGGAACCTTCAGACCACACGGCAGGACCAAGAGTCCGAATGTAGCTCTGCCAAGCACTTCCAGAGCAGAGGAGGCAGGACAGAGTCCTAAGGAGCAGGCCCAGGGTACCGACCGCTTCCCACAGCTGGGCCACACAGCAAGCCTGGCTGGGCACTGCCTGCCTCTCCCCTCCCTTCCAGGCCTCATCATCCATCGAGCATCACATAATTACCACAGGAAGAATGATCAAAGAGAGATCAACCTGCTTTCACCCTGGGGCTGATTCAGGTTAATCGGCAGCCTCTGGCGGAGAGAACGGCCAAAGCTGAGCAACAGCTCCATTTCCAGGAGGAAAATCTTTATCCCATCTCTCACTGGCTGGAGCCATGAAATCGATTGCTCTAACAGCCTCCTGCCCTCACTGAGCTGGCTTAGATGGTATCTATTAAAAGGCAAGGGCATTTCACAGCTCAGCTCCTTCTGCATCAGACCCAAATCCTGTGTCTAAAGGGGCAGCCAGGGTGCGGCTGGTGGCTCTGAAGTCCAAGGTCCCCTTCTGGCTGTGCCGTGATGGTCACGTGCACCTGTGCAGAGCTGAGGGTCACACAAGGTAACCATGAGGGCCTGAATGTACGGATAGCCCCGCTGAGTGGATGCTAGGATTCTGGGCAGGAAGGAGCCTGTGTCCTGCTCCATTTCAACAAAGAAGAGCAGAGAAAACCAGCATGCAGCCAGCTGGGAGAGCCAGCACATTCCCTCTGGGCCTCGGAAGATGGGCCAGCCAGCTCCCTGGTCTTGACCTGAAGCCATAAGTGTCTGCTTTCTCCAAGGATCTAGATCTGAATGGCCCCCTGCTGAGTACCGAAGGGCCTATTGGAACCCGCTAGGGTCAGCATGGCAGCAAGGCATGTCTCTGAGGAGGATGTCTGCCCGCCTTGCCCTCATTGCATAGTGGCTGTAGACTCTGGTGAACATGCTGTCACATGGCGTGGTGCCCCAGATGCCCGCAGGTCCCCTGTTGGAAACCCCATTCTCCTCCAATGTGCTTGTGAACTGGACCCAGGGTGTGGACAACAGTGCATTTGCCTGAGCCCAGGCCAGTCTGACAGCAAGAAGAGCCAATTCAACTGCAGGCAAAACCCCTCAGTGGTGCTCAGGGCCTGTGTCCTTTCCTGGGAGGCCACACAGGTATGTCTACTTCATAGAAGAGCACAGATGACCAAGGTATATGGGACATGTCCCTCAGAACTCACAGAGAAAGGTGTGTGGCCTGTGAGAACTGCGGCCTTGGTGTCGTGGGCCATCACCGGCCCTGCCTCTCAGAACCAGGCAGCTCTCTGAATGTGGCTACCACAGTCCTGACCTGTATAGGGCTGCCTGGGCTTACACAGGCTCTGAGGGTACCCTGCCTGTCTCCTGGGCTTCTTGTTTCTGACTGACTCTGAGGAGAATCGTGGCTCAGAGGCAGGAGGGCAGCTGCCTGGATCAGAGCCTCTGCAATCGCACTTGGCTCTGGAGAAGCAGTGATGGCAATTTTGGCATCGGATGGGCTGGAAGTGCAAGCAAAGCAAAAATGAAGCAAATGAAGCCAAACGGATTTCGTTTTCTAAAACGGGATCAAAACTGGCTCCTGAGACTCTGTTGCTTCCCAGGGAAGTGAGTGTTCTGAAGGCTTTTGGAAGAGATCCGCTGATGCAGTGCAGTCAGGGGTGCAGAGGGCCAGGGAGGCTGCGCTCAGAAGCGACCAGCAGGGACCAAGAGTGGCTGGCCAGGTGAGCCACCTCTGCCAGGGAGGCTTCTCAGGTTTTCATGAGAGCTGATGACCAGCAAGGAAAATGTGATCTTGATCAGGTGCCAGAGACCGGGCATGGGGAGGCCACAGGGCAGGCTGAGCAGAGAGGCGTGAGAGATTTCACAGTGGCACCACCACTGGCAGCCATTGGTAGCCTCACCATGGGGGGGGGGGGACTCCAGGAACTGACAGCTCCCTGCTGAGGGTGGCAGGAATCCCAAAGGTCAACCAAAGTGGGTGTGGAGTATCTTAATTTGTCTGCTTACACTAAGAACTGGCTCAGTCTTTGCAAAAACCAAAATAGGACAAAAACAGAAAAAAAGAATCTGTAAACCTTCACTATTACGAAATGACCTAAAAATACCAGGAGCTGGGCACAGCACATTGCACAGGAGGCCTCCCTTGGGCCCTCCTGCCTGGGAAGAGGGGTTTCCAAGGTGCTGAGTGATGGGAGGTAGAAAACACAACCCCTGCCCCACTTGCCAATGTCCAATGCAGTGGACCTTCCCGTGGTGCTGGCCTCCCTGTCCATGCTGTTGGCAGGAACCTCCTGCCTGGAGGCTTTGGGAGTGCTATCACCTGGGTCCATGGCTGTGGGGCCCCCAGCCCTCCTTCACCCACTGCCTGGATACTGCAGGCAGTGGATGGTGTCAGAGTGGGTGACACCGTCCATCTGTATGGCCTCGGCCAGGCCATGTGCTCAGTGTAAGGAGATGCACTGGTCCCTCCCCTTCCCAGGTGTGTAACTGTATTCATCTTTTGTTCACACCTGAGAGCCCAGGAGTGAGGCCTGGTCTAGAGCAAGGGCATTGGTCCAGGTGGAAGATGTTGGCAACTGCCAAGCTGGGTGGGGCTCCTGAGAACAGGAAAGTGACTCTCTAACATGCTTTTGGCCTTTGAAATACATTGCTATACAGGTCAAAATAAAAACTGTAAGAGGCAACAGACGAGAAGCAGCTAGGTGTCTGATGGCAGGTGGGGGCCAGGGAGTCAGTTCCTAGGGACAACGGGGACACAAAGTGGGGCTGGATGGTGCTGGGATGATGGGGTTGGAGAAAGACTATCAGGGCCATGGCTGGGCAGGGGGTGGGGTGAACAGGAGTCCAAATGCCAGGATCCCAGCAGCAAGCCCCGGTTCCAGGTTGGAGGTCAGTTTGGGTTTTCTAAGGGGAAGCCCAGGCAGGGATGATTCTGGGCATGACCAACCCTCCCAAGAGCCTCCTGACGCATAGGCTCTTATTTAGCCCCTCCTGCCAGGCACCAGGGACCAGGGGAAAGGGAACATTCTTCTTTGCTTCTCTGGAGAGCTCTGTCCTATTTTTCTCTTATGAATGGGTTCTAAGAGAGGAAGAGACCATATGAAAGCTGGGTGAGTACTGGGTGAGGAAAACAGAGCTTAATTAAATTAGGAGTTCACAGCCCTGGATTCTGACAGCTCAGCGAACACAGTTAAGAAAAAGAGGGCAGAGTATAGCGGTCTGAAACATCTACACAAAATGAGCTTTTAGGTTGGGCTTTTATGTGCAAGCACACGCTAAGACACAGCTCATCAAGGGCTGTTACTGGATTTATGTGATGAGCTACGAGGTTCTGCCCATCAGCACACCTGCCTGTGGAGACCACTGGGTGTTTTTAGGAATGGAAGGGGCTCCCCAGACCCCAGCATGCAGGGTGCACCAGTGCCAGGGGCTCAGTGTGGGCCGCTTCCAGGAAGGGCTCAGAGGAGAACGGGTCAGTGGAGTCTTGAATGCAGGTTAAATAGCCAGGGCAGATGAGTAATCAAATACCAAAATAAACAGTGGGTAACAGTGACCATAACCCTGTGCCTCGCATGGGGAAGCGGTCAGTGATGTGGCCACACCCACACGGCCTCTGGCAGACAGTTAACGTGGGGTAGTTGGACACCCACAGACGGAGCACGCTTGGCCCCCACAAAGGACCACGAGCTGAGAACCAGTGTTCTGCAGCAACTTCTCCTTTCAGCAGTGAGCCAGATCACTGCATCACAGGCCCCAGCTGTTAGGCAAGGCTACCTGGAGAGATGAAGAAGGTTCTCCACAGCTTCTTGTCCCGAGTCACATCCCGGATCTCCTTGGTCATGTTGACCATCCTGCCAGCCACGGGTGGGACTCGGCGGAAGTCCAGGATCCTGGCAAGACAAGGGCAGAGAAAGGACTCTTTACCACCCAAGACTGATTCTCAGTGGCCACCGTGGAAGTCAGGGAGCCACATTCTCTTGCCTTGGTCTAACTCAACTGCCAGCTGTGGCTCTGCCAGCACAATCGGGTGGAATGTGGCCGCTGCCTCATGCACTGGCGTCGGCCTTGCCAGGCACCCAATCACTAAAACATGCTCTCATTCCAGGGCTGAATTTAAAATGAAACTAAATTAAATTAAGCATTCTTAATGGAACTCTTTCTGAGTGGCGCTGCATGCACGGCCACTTGCCTAATTAAATGGAGATGCCGACGTGAGCTCTTCCTGCTGACACAGGATGTCTCAATGGGCTGGCTGGAGAGGGGCCAGGCAAGGAGGGGCGGGTGGGGACCCCACCACCTCCTCCTGCCCGCCTATTGTTGGCGCCCCCAGGCTGAACTGTCTGTTACATTAACAAGCCGCCCCACGGGGCCACGTGTCCTAGGCAGTGGCCTCACTAGCTTGGGGCCACCGCTGTCCTTTTCTTTGTCTCCGTTGCTCGAAGTGGGTGAAGTTGTGGAAAATAAGACTCCTGGGGATTTCTGCAGTGACCGCATGTTTTGAGACACCCGGGGTCCTGTTAGATGCAGACTCTGGTCTGCGGTCCTGGGTTCAGCCCAACGCCGCATTCCAGCCAGCCAGGTCAACGCTCTGGCTGGAGGACTCTGAGCCGAGACCTGTGTCCGGCCAAGGAGGCTCGGAAGCCCGAGCGCCAAGCCCACCCTGTGCTGTGGTTGTGGTGGGGTCTTTGTCCTCCACACCCTGCTGACCCCAGGGGCAGGGCTAAGAATCCCCCCTTCCGGGCACAGAAACAGATGACTGCCATACAGCGTGTGTGTCAGCCACCTTGTCTGCTCAGCAGCAAAGGGTCAATCGGAATTTGTTATTAATCACGTCCTGCAGTGTCTTCGCTGCCCCTTGGGAGACAGGTGACAGGGGACCTTCACTCATTCTCTGCCTCCAGGAAGCCTTCATGACTTCCAGAGAGCTCACACCCATGACTCTGCATGTTAAAATGCGCAACACGGAGCCCTCCACCCCTTCCCCCTTTGTTCCCAGCCCCCACGACCCACCATCCATCCCAGCCACTCCTTGCTGGGGTGGGCAGCAAGCAGCGCCCCATAGATCTCAGGAACCGGGGGCAGGGCCCACCTTGCCCACTAAGGGCAGGGGCCCCAGGCAGGTCATTCCCTCCGAGGCTCACTGTTTTGGCTGCCGGGTGGGGTGTGAAGTCTAACCACGGGCTGCTCTGGATGGAGAGCCCCGAGATGGCAGCTGTGGGGTGATTACGATGGTAATGCATTGCGGACCCCAAGGCCAGGGGCCTCACCTGTCCAGGTGGAAGGCGGCGATCTCCGCATTGTGCCTCTCATAGTCAGAGAAGTAAAAGAAGTCAGGGGGTGTCTCCTGCTCCCTCGTTTGCCTGGAGAAAATGGGACAAAAAAAAAGATGGGTTTGTCACTGAGAACAGCTCCAATCAAGTAGGCATCTGTGACCTGCGGCCTTCCAGGGCTGACTTACATTTTGGAGAACTGTGCTAACCAGGGTCACAGCTGTCATTAAAAGTTAAAGTATGTCCACTACAGCCAAACATGGTATACCTAAAAAACCATTCAGTACCCAAGTCTCATCATGGCCTTATTTGCTGTGTTTTACCATCTCGTCTGCTCTCTGGCTCTTTACACCCTGTGCCTGCGGGTAGAAACGCATTGCCTGGTGAAGCTGCATCTCCCCAGCCCATGTTCAGTGACCTCAGGGAGCAGCTCATTCTCACCTGCAGATAGAAGTTTATACCAGAAAAGCGGGCAAACTCTGTCAACCCGGCCCCCAGGAGCTGGGCAGCACAGAGCTGTCAGCCTACTGCCAGCCAGACTATGCCAAGGTCAATGGGCAAAGGGAGTGCCTGCCTCTAAGTGGAGATTTGGATTGGCATGGCCCTGGGTGCGCATTTTCAGGGAGGGCAGCCCTGCTGGAGAGCAGGTGCCCCCTAGCTGGACACAGGATTCTCCAACATGCGGGCCTGGGACCTGGTCTGGTAGGACAAACCATCCCACAGACTGGCCTTGTTGCCATCAGTTCCCTGGTGGGAAGGACACCCCGCTGGGCCCTTTCTGAAGCTTGCTATCCTCTACTGGGTTCTGGGCCTCAGTTTCTCTGCTCTCCCACCCAGTGCCTGAGCTGAGTCAAGACCACCTGCTGTTTCCTGCACTTGACCCCAGTTGTTAACCTCCCACCTATGCTCAGAGTGTTCCATCCTGGAACAGCCTTACCTCTGAGACACCAAATGGCTAAACCAGCTTTTCCAACCGTGTGTCTTATGGACACCATGCCCAGGACCTCCTGGCACATGGGTGTCCTCAGAGAAGCTGGGAGTTTGGGTGACAGAGCCCTAGGACCTTCCTTGTCCCTGGAGTATGCATGCATATGGGAGTCCTGTCCATGGTGGTGGGAAAGAGGAGGGCTCTGCTGGATGACAGGACCCCTCCTATGCTGCTGGGGCTCCTACACACCCTACGTAGGCCCATGGTACATGCTGGGTGCAACCTGGTCCCAGCGCCCAGGACTGGCTCTGCACGGGGCTTGCTGTGTGTGCAGCCTACCTTGGCCACTGTTTCCCTCCCTCTAGGACTCCTGGACTCAGCACTCAGTGACTCCCAGTCCCTGGAGGTAAAGCCGGCACCTCTCATCCCTGTATCTGGCCAAGGACATGAAGCCACAGGCAGGAAATGTCATCCAGTGTCATTCTGCAAACATGGATGGTCTCCAGTGCCTCGGGCTCTGGGATGTTAACAGACTTGGGAGGAGGCAGGGACCAGTCGCAGGGCTCTGGTGAGTTCCTGTCATGCAGGGTTTGACCTTAAGAATCTGGAAACATTAACCCATCATTATGCGAAATGTCTGAGATGGTGATTCTGGCATGCAATGTGGGTCCCCTGGGTGCTGCTGCTGTCCTCACCAAAGACAGCAGGAGGCTTCCAGTGGGGGAGGACAGAGTCCAGGCTGCAGGTGAGGGCCACAGCTGTGCCAGGTGGTTCCCTGAATATCACTTATCCCAGTAACAAGATTTCCTCCTCCACCTTTCCAGGAACCCGTGTGTAGCGCTGGTGCTGGGGACACACTGTTCCTCCTGACCCTTGGAGGTTCCTGTGTCTGGCCAGGCACCCTGCTACTGGGGGAGCGCTGGTCTGACCATGTGCCAAGCGGGGGTCATGCTGTCCTTGTGTGCTTCCCCAGTCCACTAAGTGGAGGAGGCTGACCATCAGCTGCAGGTGGCAAATGGGTGCCCTTGAGGGTGGTGTGCTGCTCCCACTGGGCAGGGCTTCTGAGGTTTAAGAGTCTGGACTTTGTGGAGTCTCTTGGTTTTTACATGTGGGCAAATGATTTCATTTCTTTCCAGCACTGTGGATCAGACCAGGCCTGTCAGTCCCCTCACTGATCCAGCCGTGAGCTTGTGAGGTTGAATAATGCTTAGCTCAGAAGCACTGGCTTTCAGCAAGCCTGTTCTCAGAACACTGGCTCTTCCAGACTTCCGTAAGTTTTAGCTGGAAAAAGGGTAAGGACAGAGGCAGGAGTTCTGTTCTTTGAGCTTCCTGGAACCTCAGGTTGTACGTGTTCCTGGAACAGCCTGTACAGGATGCTTTAACGCTATGCCACAGGTTGGTTTAGATCACTGTGGAACGCAGAATTATTTCCTTTGGGAAATCCTGGCCTCAACTCATGGTTAGGCAGGCAGAGCTCATTGTTGGCCCTGGGTGCAACCCGTGAGGAGCAGCGCCAGGACCCACAGCAAGGACTCTCCTGGGACCTCTTCGGGTCTGGCTGACCTCCTTCCCATCTGGAAAATGGGTGCCTTCAGTCTCTGTGGGTCTGCCTGTGTGGCCTTGGCCTCGTCCCCAACCCTGTATAGACTGGCAGAACTTCCCTCCAGGAAGGCTGTGCTACTCTGCACTGGCCAATGCAGCAGTATTGCCCATGTGTGGGCACTGGCCACTCAGAAAATGGCTAGATTCAGGGAGGAGCCAGCCTTTAAATCTTAATTTAATTAATTTAAATTTAATTAAGTGCCTGTGTCTAGTGGCCATGTGCCAGGCAGAGCTCTGTGGCCTCCGTATACCTTGGCCTGCCCTCCTTTCCTGCCTTCCTTCCTCTATTTCTCTGGCTGTCACCTCTGGAAAGCCCCCTGGAACCATAAGCTCTTTCAGGGCTTCTCCTTATCTGTACCTGGGTACATAACCCCATGAGCTATTGCACATGTGACCTTTACTGAACCTCTCTTTACTCCTGCTCTGCACACACGAGGTCTGCGGAAGGGTGTTTACCAGACAAACCTCAAGTCTGTGGCTGCATCTCAGCTCTACCACTGACCAGCTATGGAAACCCCGCCCTCCCACCAAGCCTCAAGTATGAGCCCTACAGGGAGAATTAGAACAGCTGCCTCTGAGGCAGGGGCCTTGAGATGAGTGTACACGGAACGGGCACACTGTGTGTGCTGATTCTCCACCTGTCCTATCCATGTGAACTGAATACCCACTTGGAGCTCTGTGGGTTGGGCCCTTGGAGTCTGCCCTTTATGATCACACAGCAGCAGCGACTCTGCGACACTAAGATAGGCAAGAGGTGGGACAAACCTAGTGGTGTCCACCCAAGGCCCTGGTGGGGCTGGAGCAGGATTCAGTGTGGTTAAATTCTGTCTGTCCACCGCAGGTATACACATGCACATACCACTGCACACACAATCCTGCTGGAGCAGGATTCAGTGTGGTTAAATTCTGTCTGTCCACCGCAGGTATACACATGCACATACCACTGTATGCACACTAATTTGTGCATGTGTGTACACACACGCACAGACCCTTAGAGCAGAGCTATTTGGGGGCTCTTGGAGGGAAGGGATTAGGTCCTAGCTCCACTGACTTTTCTAGGCACAGCTTTGCAGAAGGGCTGGGAAAGAGCGTTAGTGGCTGTGAAAAGGCATTTGATTTTCCAGCTGTAAAAGGAGGCACAGCTTGAGCAGCAGATGAGTGGTGTACCTACTGCAGTCAACTGCACGAATCTGGTCACTGCAGTAGCCCATCTGGTGGCTCCCGCCTGACCTATGCTCTGCTTTAGTTAAGGGTAGGCTGCAGAGAATGCAGGGAGCGGCCCACGGCCCTGTCCATTTCTAGCAGGGCAGGGCTGAGGGGATGGGATGGCTTCAGCCATACACCTGACACCAAGGAAGGATCTCCCAGTGCAGTGGAAGCAAGTGGCTTCTAACAAATCTCCCCCATACATCCATAGGATGCGGGGCCCCTCGTTCCCTGGGACTTAGCCATTCCTGCTCACCATTCCTGCTTCAGGACTCCTCCGCGGGTGGAAACACTCTTGTCCCAGTAAATCTCGAGTCTGCTGGGGCTTCTCCTGCTCCAGCTGCCTCTTTCAGAGAGCACACCTGAAAGCCAGCCTGGACCCTGCTCTGCCACCACGTGCATTTCCCTCTAGGGCCTCCCCGCAGCCCGAGACAGACACGGCTCCCTCCCAAGCAGCAAGCCTTTGGCACAGGGACACTGGGCAGCATTGTTCCCTGTACAGCAGGAAAGGCCTGGGGGCAGGAGTGTCCTTCCCCGGGGATCCCATGCCCAGCCAATGGCTTGCTTCAGGACTAGCATTCCACAGTCAGGGACTAGTGAGGAGTTGATGGGGGCACAAAGTGGCCTCCATCCACCTGCAGCCTTCAGCTCGTGCCCATGTAGTCACCTCCACCTACTGGGGAGTGACACGCACTCGCAACTGGATATGCAAGACAATGTCTGCACAGGGTGCTAAACAGGGAGCGGATCTTTCTGCCAATACCCTGGCCTATCTTTCTCTCCATCACACTGCCTGGCCCTACCAGCAGGTCACACATGTGACACCCAGGTGCCTCTGAGCCCTGAGGCTCCAGGAAAAATCCAGATACTTCCTTGAGGCCTTTCTGACCTGGCCCAGAACAGCTCCTAGTTAATGTCACTGGGTTCTGAAAAGCAGGCAGCTGTCCCAGGCTAGTGGCAAGGTGCTCTGGGGCCTCTTGCCCCTGACGTGTCCATATCCACTCTGACCTAGACACTGGCTGCCCTTTTTCCTCTCCCAAGGGAATGCTGGTCACTGTCAGAGACACTGAGAATGTACCCTACCCCTGGGGAGGGGCAGCTGATATCTAGGAAGGGTCAGGGGATTCTTGTACTGTCCTTATATGAAATACCCATCTCTGTGGAGCACACCAGTCTCTGGAACCACTAGCCAGGGGCATCACGGCCCCTCAGTACGTACACAAGAACCACAGAGAAGCAAGACTGGTGTATGTCACACTCTGCACATTCCATGGCTCTGAATCCTGACCCTGAGGCCTGCAGTCACCCACACGGTGGTCACACAGCCTCCTATCTCTTTCTATAAGACATGAAC